CTTCCTTCCTTCCTTCCTTCCTTCCTTCCTTCCTTCCTTCCTTCCTTCCTTCCATTTTATTTGCTGGCTAAAAAGTAAAGTGGATTGATTTATGCTGTTGTGAAGTTCTTGGGATAGAGGAGAGCGGATGGCCAGTTCTCACTGCCTCTTGCAAACTATGTTCCTTTCCTGTTTCAGGATTTGTCCTAATGCAGTTAATGAGATAGTGGCTAATCTGTGAGCTTCTGTCTCCCAGAGTAAGAGTCCAGGAGAAGTTGAAAAGAGATCAGGCCTTATACCTGCTTGAAGAGAGAATGCAGGAGGGAAGGGGACTGAATTGTTTGTGAATTATTAGAAGAGAACAAGAAACAGACTGGAATGTGAGGAGAGAGGATGACCCACTGCTACCTGGAATGAGAGTGCAGGGAAGAGGGGTTATTGCCTACTGGTCAGGATCCAGGGGCCTTCTAGTGATGGGGAGAACATAGGTTGGGCTTCTTTATTTTAGGGATGAGATTTGTACTTTTCTGAGTTGCAAACTGGTAGGACTTTCTTGGTTCTGGGGTGGCTGTGCTAAATACCAGGACAATTTTGATGGAATGGGAAGTAGGGTTCTGTGCTAGGAGTATTCCAGACTATTGTGGGGGAGGGGATAGGGGTAGTCTTGGGTAGCTATGAGGCTGGGTGGCCAATTAGTACAATGAGGATTAGAAAGAATCCTGGATAAAACTGGATTTTGGTTTCATACTTGGATATAGGACTGAAATGGCATTGGTTCCTCTTGGGATAACCATTGGGGCCTGCAATGGGGGAGTGCAGCCCTAGTGGATATCTCAGCAGTGTTATCATTATCATTATCAACTATGGTATCCTTCTGAGTAGCCTGCAAGGGTGGAGATAGGAAGCACCATTTTGCTGTCATTCATTCATTCATTCATTCATTCATTCATTCATTCATTCATTCAATTTATCTCCGCCCATCTCCCCCCAATGGGGGACTTTGGGCGGCTCACAAAATTCATTAAAACAACAAATATATAAAACATAAAAACTATACAAAACATTACCAAACAAGAAAAAAAAAAAACACCGCCCCAAAAACAAAACAAAACAAAACAAAACAAAACAAAACAAAACAAAACATTACTTCCTGAGTAGGCAGTTTCAATAGGTGGTGATGGGGGAAGAGCAATCAAACTTATGTCCAGAACTATGTAAGGTACTGCAAGGATCACTCTTCTGTCCCATAATATTCAACATCTACATGAGAGGTTATATTTGAGTTCATGGAAAGATAGCATAAATATGCTGATGTTACCCAGCTGTGCCCCCACTGAAGATGCTTTGAATGTGTTTC